CCGGAGCAGCCCCGCTGCGCTGTGTTTAAGGGGTTAACAAGCAAATTACTCACTTCAGCCCAACAGAATCCTCCCCAAGTGGTTCTCGTCGCTTCTTCTTGCTCGACTCTGTCACTTTGAAGCCTTCTGGGAACCAAAGCTGCCCATGCTCCCTGCGCCGCTTCCGAGACACCAGTACTCCCACTCCAATGAAAGCAAGCAAGACCAGCGCAGCCAGCACCACGTACATAGGATACAGCTGGGAGTTCTCCGCCGGCTCCGCCGTCTCACCTACAGAACAGCGGGGCACAGAGAGACACTGAGACATCCAGCTGCATAGCAAACCGGGGACAGAGTGGAAATGAAGCAAAATTAGTTAATAGAGGTACCTAAGGCTGATCTAAATCAGCTCCCCCCCCCCCAAAATAAGGTCATTTTATACGCTATTAATCAGAATTGCAAACTATCGGCAAATTCTCGGCTGCACAAGGCAGGCTGCACCAGGAGACAGCTTCACTTTTTTCTCCTTTAAGGAAAAGGATTAGCAAACTTCAAATCATTGCGCTTGCATTGAGCTGTTAAGACAAAAGGATTTAGGGGGGATTTTCAAGATACAAACTTCAACTCCTTGCATGTCACTGATTGATTGGAGCTGGTTGGGTTTTCTTTTTTTTTTTTTTGATAACTTTTATAGTGGTAATGATTTTGGAATAAACCTGGAATAAGCAAAAATAATAAACTGTTTTTGCAATTTCTTTTAAGAACAGACTTAAATGGAAAAAAAAAAAAAGGTGTAAGGTTATTAAAACCAGACAGTGCTCAAATGCAGCCAGCTGACAGATAACTAAACATGGAGGGGGCTGGAAAGTGTTGGCTGTCTCTCCTCCCCAGCCGACCAGCTGTACTCACTTTTAACAGCTTCTATTTTGTAGGGTATGTTCAGGTTGCCAAGGGAGGCCAAGGCGCCCAGGAAATTGCGCTCTGGAAGCACTGGGAAGACGACTGGATGCATTGGCGGTTATCAATTTCCAAGTAGACGATGGATCTGTGCGAGAGAAGAATCAATGAGGAACACGGAGCAATGGCCACACCGCACAGACAGGCGAGATCCGGCTCCCGTCCCTCCCTCACCCATCAGTGGGATCCCAAGGTGGGCACCCATCTCCTCCCTCCCCCGTGGCCCAAGCCCTGCGGCTCAGAGCCATGGCTACTGGATTGGTGTCAATGACCACTGCGAAATCCAACTCCTGATCTCCAGGAATGGAAGGGAGTCTGTGCTTCACAATGTTTTACAATTCCCCAGACACTGCAGTATCTCCAATAATGCTGTTTGGGAGCCTGCAGAGATCCGAAAGCAAAGGAGTTAGAACAGCGCAACCGCTCGTT